GAAAGGTAACGTGCGTCCCAGCTTCGGTGCACGCAGGGCTCCGTGGGGGTGTGGGGAAGGTGCTGTCCCCTTGCTGTGGCTTTGTGGGGCTTGCTGTGGGTTAGCCAGCATGCGTCTGCTGGCGGGCTCTTCAGGAACCACCTTCACGCACTGATCAGACTGAAGAAGGCCCTGTCACTCTTTTCCTGGGGCTCAGGGCTCCCAGGAGGGTTTTTTTGCTGATCCATGTGAACAGCAGAGGTGAGGCCCAGATTCTTCCTGTGGTGAGGAGCCACTGGCACCTCTCATGCTCTTCCTTCCCTAAAAGCCTTCATCATCTCTGGGCTGCTCTTCTTCAGGCAGCCCCTGGCTACCATATGGCCAAGATGATCATCAAACTCATCACGTCCATCGGCGAGGTCATCAACAACGATCCCTACGTGGGGGACAGGCTCAAGGTCATCTTCCTGGAGAACTACCGGGTCTCCTTGGCCGAGAAGGGTACGTCTGGTCTTGCGTAAGCACATGTCAGGAGGTGGGCACGTGCCAGTTGAGCCCAGAGGGTGGCTGGCCCGAGAGGCTGTCCTAGCAGGTCACCTGGCTCTCCCTTTGGAAGGGCCGGAGGGCTCCACACAGGGCAGACAGCCAGCTTCATGCAGGACTGTCAGCGGCTGCGTGGGATTGAGGCAGGGCAGAGCCTGGCTCTGGCCCCAAAGCCACACCATTTGGGCTGGGGTTGAAGGCAGCAGATGCCCAGGGTTGTTTTGCTGGACCCAGGTCATGGGCAACTGCAGTATGCCAAGGATTAACTCCTACCTTTCTTGCGCCCGACAGTGATTCCGGCAGCGGATCTCTCCCAGCAGATCTCAACAGCTGGCACAGAGGCCTCGGGTACCGGCAACATGAAGTTCATGGTGAATGGGGCGCTCACCATTGGTACCATGGATGGGGCCAACGTAGAGATGGCTGAGGAGGCAGGCGAAGAAAATCTCTTCATCTTTGGCATGCGGGTGGAGGACGTGGAGGCCCTGGATCGCCAAGGGTTGGTCCTGGGAAGAGCCCAATGCGTGCCAGGGCTTGTGGGGATACAGGTCCCAGCTCCGGCAGGTAGAGCCATGATCTCTGGGAGGGACACTTTGTGCCCTGTGCAGCTCCAGGCGCCAGGAAGCAGCCTCTGCCCTGGTCAGTGGACAAGCCCACCCAAGACACAGCCCAGGCAGGTCACCCAGAGCACAGTGGCATGTGCCAGGGCACAGAGTATTTCAGGCACTGCGACTGGTCTC